AAAGCGATGGTGATATAGATGGGGATGTTAATAGTAGAATTCAAGTTGGTTGGTTGAAGTGGAAGAATGCTTCGGGCCTTTTGTGTGACGGAAAATTACCACCTAGACTTAAAGGAAAATTTTATAAAAGGGTGGTGAGACCTACAATGCTCTATGGCGTTGAATGTTGGCCTTTAAAAGAAGAGAAGCATAATAATAAGTTAAGTGTTGTCGAGTTGAGAATGATTAGGTGGATGAGTGGCTTTACACTTAGAGACAAAATGCGAAATGAATATATCCATGATAGGGTTGGTGTAGCTCCTTGTCGGCACTAAAAAAAAGTTGTTGGTTAAAGTTTATAGGTCGCCCGTAAGAAGCTGCCGATAGCCGGAATCGAAATCCCGTCGCCCGCTTCGGAAGGACGTTTTAATTTATGTATATATATATATATAATTTTAGAAAAATATGAAATCAAATTGACCTCATATTTTTCGCAGTTTAAATGAAAGAGCACTCTACCTCAAATCTTGTATCTATCCCGAGAGATAAACACAAGACTTGAGGGTGAGGCTCAATCAAATAAACTAAGAAATATATGACATCCGTTTGGTCTGCGAAACCGTTTTAGTTGCCGACAAGTTCCCCTATTTAATACAAAGAATTAAATAGGGTTTATTTTAGGTTGGGTTCGGAAAAGCTCCCTATAAGGGCAAGCCCCTATAGTTAATTACATCTTAAATGACCGAAGTCACCTAAGAAGACTCTCGATAAAAATCAGGGGATGTCATCTTCAAAGAGGTCAAAAGGATATGATTTTTCAACGAAATCGGACAAAGAGGTGTGAAAGGGAAAAAACTTGAATCTGGAACATTGTTGAGGAATCCAAATGAAGAGAAACTAGGGGAGGCCACGGATCCTGAGGCGAACCTCGGGGGCTTCCCAGCCTATCCTATGATTTGACTCCAGTTTTGAGAAGAACTTATTACAATGTTTCATCTTGCCAATTTTATTTAATTAGGGCTTATATTTGCGTGACAGGGTCACACAAATTGCCTAGAAGATATGAGGGTTTATGTCGTATCGGACGACAACCTCGGAACCTAGAACGAGTTTAGGGCCTTAAATCGTACAGCAGAGCTATACGAATGCCTAAAGAAAAGGTGGAGGACTTATGTTGCGCTAGACAGACAACCTCGAAATCCTATGAATTTTGTTTAATTTCTAGGAAAAGGGATGATTTTGTTGGGGAAGACATGTTCTGCTGTTGAAGATCGCCGTGCTGCCCACCGCGCTAGCTCCAAGCTCCCCGACATGACGAGTTTAAATTTTCTAAGGTGTCCAGTTATAGTGTTAAATCAAACGGCCCTATTGTTGTAGTCATCTAAACATCCTATGCAAAAACGAAACATGCTTGAAGTTATATAATGTAAAGTGTGTGATGCAGGAACAAAGCAATAAAATGCACGTGGAACAATAGTAGACAAAAACAGGAGCAGTATAAGATGCTATACATGAAGAACAGTAACAAGTAGAAATAAGACAAGTGTAACATGCTTTACAGGAAGAGCAGTAGCAGGTAGAAGCAGAAAAATAAAGTACTGAAAAATGTAAAGCAAACTTGTACGCCCGTGAGATCCGATGTTTCTTAAGCACAACAAGCCTAAATGCATCTCAAAAAGCAAAGTCCGGAAGAGAACGTCATCCAGGAAATTCGACGAAGAAAAGCGGAGGAACTCGAGAAAATCAACGAAAAAGACTCAAGTAAAAGAAAATCCTCAAAACTCCTAGGAAAATCCCGAAAGAAAGGAAAAGTAACACGAGTGCCCTGTCCCAAAGCTTCGATAAAACAAAGAAACAAAATTCGGATGGGGGGACCGCAAGCACTCGTATGGGACTAGGCTCAGCTATATTTATTCTTGAGAGTCCACGAAGGCTATTCGGTCGCCAGAATATATAGAACCCGCCACTCATCTAGAAGTGTGTCTTGAACCTCACTCAGGGGGCTATTTCCCAGCCTAAACAGGTATTCGTCAGGTGGACAACGTATCTTAAAAACATATTTTAAAATTTATGTTTTTGACATACACATAAATCTCGAAAAAGATTATCAAATTTTTGTTTTATAAAGAAGAATGTATTTTATATTTTGAAATGGAGTTTAACAATTTTTATTATCCACAAGACGATTACACTGTCGGGCATAGGATCGTCGACCGACTGAGGAGGTTCGAGCCAACTCCCGCTAGACTTATGTCGGTGAAGGATACCATATCCTATTGTTCATCAAATGTATGGATCTTGATGTTATAAGATGTGACATCTTTCTGCTCTATCTTCGGTGTGCCTTTATCATCAACACTGTACGCCCCAAAACGACTACTTGCGACATTGCTTGATGGTTTCACGTATAGCAGGCTATACGTGGACACTTATGCATCAGGCATAAGCATCGAAAAACCCGAACCAAGAAGCAAAGAAAGAAAGGAATAAAAATGGAGTGAGAGAGAGGAGACACTGATCCATCTAAAACACCGAAAAGGAGATTGGATCTGTTCTCAAAACTCGTATCGAAAAGACCTGGAAAGGTAGGGCCCGAGGTCTTTCCTAACAAACATAAAATATCCCTTTGCGCTGATTCTCCAAACCCCAAGAAAGCAGGATCAATCAAATCGGCCAAATACTCTCCCAAATAAAGCTTGCAAATCCTCCCCAAATCCCAAAGTTGATATCTAAATCTTCCAACTGTCGAATTAATCCATAACCTCACATATCAAACAAACATAGAAATCTTCCCATGAAATCATGTAAATGCTCACGATCGGGATCACCTCAAAGAGCTGAACAACAAGTAGGACTCACGGCCAGGGTCGGCAGAGAAGAGGAAACAACCAACAAGGCTGTCGGCCCAAAGCTAGGAACGGGGACAAAAGGGCTCACGGCCAGGGCCAGCAAAGAAGAGGAAACAGCCAACAAGGTCCATAATCAAAGGCGGCCTAAAAGGCAACAGGTAAGGCTTACAGTTAGGGCAACAAAGGGGCCCAAAAAAACTAATAAAGCTCACAGTTTAAGGCAGCAAAGAACAGCTGCAAAAGCCCACGACCCAAGGTCATCCAAAGCACAAAGGGGCTCACGGCTAAAGCCAACAAAAAGACCATCAAAGGCA